GTACAAGAGCCAGTATGACCTGAGCGGATACCTCCTAGACCTCGAAGAACAACCATATGAGGTAAGGATATCCGGGGGTTCAAATTCTCTACTTCTGCTACATTTGATAATATAATATATTGAACCTCCCTCTGTGTTTAACCTGATGTAGAGAACCCTTTACCACAAACAGTCAATCAGTATTATTATACACTTGATAGATACTTTGAAGGTCTTGGATTTGAAGAAGAATTACATTTCCTATTTGCTTGGTTTTGGAGCAGCTTTCGTATGGCAGCTTCTGTGGTTCACTTGATTGACAAGTTTTAAATGTGTCTATCTTCTTTAAATGTAGTTAAAATGTGACTCTTATTAGTATGGAAGCCCTAAGAGGACATACATCTGTATTCAGAGGCTTCTTTCTTTTAGCTTTACATTTTTGTTGTCATAATTTCCCCTCTTTTCTTACCTCGTTAGTTTTAATAAATAAATATGTTTGTCGTTTGTTAAAACGAGTTTCTGTACAGAATTAACATCACAATAGAGAATAAAATAACTATAGGCTATATAACACCAAATGCAACACATATCGTTTACATCAGTTACTTACGTAAGTGGAAAAAGTGAAGCGTCTTTTTTATGGAATTAATGATGGAGTTACTGCTGCACCATCTGGTGAAAAAACATCACTCATTATTTTAAACTTGAGTGTTCAAAAATAGTTTGATTTCATCTTCATACGCAACATAACAAAGCATAAAGAGACGTCCATTTCGACCTCTGCAAGAAGACTGAATGAAAATTCGACAAAATCACAACTTTTTAAGCGTCAATCACTTTCTGTCCAGGCCTCCTTTCTGAAAGGAGTCAAACTTGTGAATTCAGGCGACTACAGTGACAGTGTCGGACACATGGAGGAAGCTCTCCGGCTCTACCTCAGAGAGTTCGAACTCTGTCAGGCAGACTGTGAAGGCATCAGTCAACTTTCACCAGACAGTGACCTCTACACAGTCATAGCAGGTAAGAACTCCTATTGAAGAAAGATCAATGTGAACAAATACAATGTTCTGGTCAGAGGTAAATCTGGCTTTCTACATTTTCTCATTTATTGGGTTTTATTCACTTAAAGCTGATTCATAAATCTACTCCTAGATTCTACATTTAGGAGGGAAAAGTTCTTCTTTCATTGTCCTGCTTTTGCATCAGACCTGCAAAACTCTTTAGATTTATGTTCAGATATAAGCCATAAAATACAACAGATTGTTACAGATGTAACACTTGGTTCTGAACCTAGTAGATCAACCAAGAGCTAAATGTCCTTAAAAACCTTATTTTTTTTCTATCCCTGAGTTTTACGCCCAAATCTGTGAAGCAGAATTTCCTTTTGTATGTCTCATATTCATCTATAATGACCCCTAGGATTGGTATTAATTTACCGGTTTTCCTATTTCGGTTATATTTTAATTTATCTCTAGTTTCTCAGCTAATAGCAACATTTCCCCCTGGCCCTGAGGATTATTAAAATATCTCAGGTTGTGATTCTGACTTCACCCAACAATCGAACTGTATAAAGAAATCCAAACGAGCTCCCCCTTGAGACTAACTAAATAATCTCTGCTCTGCTCTTTTCCACAGAAGTCTTTGTTGAGGTGTTACAGTGTCAGCTGAAGTGTGAAGGAAACTTGAAGCCTAATGTTGGAGGTTTCTTTGTGGAGAAATTTGTCGCCACTATTTACCACTACCTCCAATACGCCTATTATAAAAGTAAGTTTACCGTCACGTCTTCAGAAACAGAGCTTTACATCTCTAATCGTTATTCCTCAGAGATGCTGATGCTTTTCTTTTTCACCAGTGAACGATGGTTGCAGTGCGGTGCCCTGTGCGTACAGCTACTTCTTGTTCGAGCCTGAGGACCAGGTGATGAAGCAGAACCTGCAGTATTATGAAGCCTACAGTGAGCAGTGGGGCCTTCAGCCTGAACACTTCTTACCAAGGATGGTGAGAAAAAAAACGGTCTCATCTTTCATCAACTTTTGACACCAATCCCCCCAAAAAACAAGCTAAGAATGAGATTTGTTCTTATCATCCAGTTCATATGATGCTGCTAAAGCATGAACATGGCAGAGGATACGAAGTGTTGAGTCACAGGGAAAATGTGCTGTTCGTCCTAACTGTTTTACATGGCTACTATCATTGAATGACCGGTGAAAGACACCAAATAGACATGTTACCTGGATTATTAATGAAGAAATAAGTGAAGATACTCTTTAGACAGACACTCTTCAGATTGACACTTTGTCCAAGTCTTCATGAGTTTAACTCTGTTTGAACAGGAGGCTCTCAAACTCTACAACCACACTGCCACTCTAAAGCAGATGCTGACATCTGCACAGAAGTACTCAAAGATGGACGATGAGGTGAGATTTTCACCACAAACATTTTGAATGTTGTTTATTTTAATAATGAATATGTTTGATTTCAATTTTAGCGCAAATAATCTTTAATAAGTGTGAATTTAGTTTGGACTCGTTGGCTGTATATAAAGATGAACTATGCATCTTCAGTTCCTTGTTGTACAAATATCGACGCAAAAATACCCCTGCGACATTCGCTGACTAATTTTGCTGGTAACGTATTTTGGAGCCAAGACATGCACACAAGGGAGTTGGATGGCGGAGCCGCAGAATTGATCCCTCATGTATAATCCACTGAACAGATTCCAGTGTTGGTTTAAAGCAGACACTCACTTCTATGGAAAGTGCAATGATTCTTGTGTTAGTGTGTGTTATGTTTCATCGCATTGTTCCTCTGCTACTTTGCTAATCTGGAATAAAAACGCTGCGTGAGCCGCACTTGGCAACAGACCTGTCTTTGTTGCATTAAAAAACACATTAAAACTTCCCAGAAAATGAACATTTGATCATAAATCATCATGATAATAATCAACCATCTAGACAGGATCTAGGTTTGAGAATAATTTACTTGAGGTGTGTTTTAGTTTTAAAGTTTGCCCCATGTCCAAGCTGTTAACATGGAGGAGACAGAGCACATGACCTACACTGAAGCCAGTGAGTAGGGGGAGCTCTAAACCTTTTGGCTTCACTTAGACGGGACTGTTGTTTTGTCCATCTTTTTATACAGTCCATTTTTGGAACCTGTATAACACCTTAATGGAAGGCTGTTCTCCAACGTGGTTAAAAGTTATCTTTGTTAATAAAGTCGATTTTCTCAGGATTTTTTTGGACCAGAGGGAGCTGCTCTTCTGACCTGGGAGTCTCCTGACGTTGAGTTTGAAGGGATGGGAGACTACGAGGAGTCAATCTACGCTGACTGGAAACAACCAAAGGGCAAAGGAGACGCCGCGGATTCAAATGTCTGAGCAGAGCAGAAACTGAGGATTGCATCAGAACTAGATCAGACAACTCATTCATATTAGTATTGATTAGGGCATTTTGGGGGGACATATGGAAATATGATGTCATTATTATAGGGAAACCTGCATATCATTTTTTTCCCAGACTTTTTATAAATTTAACATTGATTTTTTTTGGAAGTGTTAAGTGGGATGTTTCCTCAGGGGACCATGAATGTTTGGACAATAGTCACGCTTAGTTTTGAGATACTATAGAGCAAATCAAACCTCTCAAAGGACGCTGCAGTAGTCTGACACTATGATGACATTTGTTTTTTTTTACCTTAATATCAATGCTACATGTAATTGGATTAATTCACAGTTTCAATGAAAGAGGAGAAAAGAACATCCTGGCAAGCAGAAAAGATTATGAAGCAGTTTCATTACTTGGCTGACATAAACATCATCACCACCACCAGCTCTCACAAAGTGAAATTGCCTGACTTTCAATTGCGGCGATCACACGTTAGCACACCCCTAACTTGCCTCGAAAATGTACAGGTTAAAAAATGTGGCCGTTTGCGTTCACACATGCGCCTCATCCTGAAAATGTTGGGAAATATTTAGGACTTTTGTCTGTGAATACAGCCAAACAATAAGTGACTAAGTGACAGAGATAAGAGAGCAATCTGCAGCACTTCAGTTTTTAAAATTAGATGAATGAAAAACACAGTCAATGTCATTCAGATATGTTTAATATTTATTTAAATATACAGCCATACGAGTATAACACAAAGAGAGCAAATATTGGTAACCTTCCTGTAACACAACATTTGTGTAAACCTTCATGTGTGAATGATGACAAAGTCCAACTACATGAGTGAGTATGGACAAGAGTAGTTCTCACAGGACCTGAGCTTTCAGCCAAATGTTTCCTCAAATATTAGAAATGATACAGTAAGAATATTAGTTATGTACATTGACATTGTAACTGTAGTCTGTGTTGATAAATTCTGAGACATTTCTAACACCACTTGCTACTTGTACTCAGGAATGTTTAAATGATTAACCTGATGCTGACTCTCACTTCTGTAGGTTGCCTGGCAGTGTAGCTTGGATCATCTCTTCTGGCACAGTCTGAGCTATTACGCTGTCGTTCATGCTTCTAACTCAAACAAAGCTGAGTAAGCATTTGTTATATATTATCATATCCACAGAAGAATATCTTCATAACCTGATTAAAGTTCCTGTAAATCCCTATAACTAAAACAATTTAAGGTAAATAAAAAAAGTTGCAGAAATTACTATTTTTCTCTTTTTTTTTTGGAGAACATAATTTGTTGTACTTTCTTTTGCACCATAACCACATTCTGAATCAGTGTACATTTTATTGCTGTGTTACATCAGAATGTAACTACTCATAGCCATTAAGAGATTAAGTAAATCTTACAAATACTTTTCCAACTACTTCCTTGACTTGACTGACAGAAGCCAAATCATGTGGAATTTGAGGGAGATCCTGTTAAATATGAGCATTAATGTTCCTAATCTGTAATAATTGTGCAGCTAGATATCCTTTCGGAGGGTTCACAAGCTAGCATGTTTTCTCTGTGGTTCAAGTCACCAGGCATGGAGCATCTCAGACTTCCCTGAACAAGCGAAGATTTGAATCCTGTCTTGCTTATTTAATCTCCAACATGAGCGGTTTGTGCTTCCATTCAGAGCGTCAGTGAGTCACTGCGGTCTAAATGACTCGACCTTATATTACAATATGTACATCAGCACCAGTGTTCAGCATACCTGTATGCATATTGGTCCTGTGGATGCAATGGGTGGATTAAATATATTACAGGGGAAAATATTTGGTGTGTATGCAACACACTATTCAGCTTCGCTTACATCAGCACAGAGACACAACGAGCCTCCATGCAGGTTTGAACCAGACAATATAAAAAGATGAAGATCAACAACTCCCGCAAAGTGCAGCCTGACTGGCTGCAGTATAGGTCATAAACTCTGCCTCCTCCATGTTAACAGATGGGACATGGGGAAATATTTAGAATTAAAATTCATGTCAAATACATTTTTCTCAAACGGTTTTTGACATGATAGCTAGTTTTTATAACATTGATTTGTGTTCATGTCCTCTTTTTTCCCCCTCCAAGAAGCTTTTTTATAATTAGTCCTTTGATGCTATAAAAGGTATAATGCCATGATTGACAGCTCTGTTGACAAATGCATCACTGTGTGTAATATATTAGGAGAGTAGAGGAGAAAGACGAGAGAAAATGAAACCAATGCTTACAAATGAGTCATTGAACCTTCCATAACCGTGAATGTCTGCCTCAACAAGAATCGGTTCTACTGTGGGCGGGATCTATACCAAATTATTGATAAGTTAAATGTGTGTCATGGTAAGCAGAAGCAGCAGGGCATCAGAACCTCTGCACACCTAGACGATCCCTACTTGGCAGACTAATGTGTTAGCGCCCGTCACAGGGGTATTTTGGCTTCAGCTTTGTACAACGGGAGGAGGTGGAGATGCATCGTCTATCTTTATTAATAGTTAGTGGTTTGTACTATACATTAATATATTAATGCAGATTATGTGGAAGCATTGATTTACATGGGCTAGTGTTTGTAAATGAAGGCAGCGTTAAATGAGAAAGTATGGAGGTCACTGCGGAATGTACTAGCACACAAAAAAAAAACCTCATCTACGCTGATAGAGTGCAAACATTCACTACTGGGTGATATGGCAGTTAAAGTCACACTACTGAAAGAGGTTAAGAGTTCTCCATGAGGCAAAATATTTTAACTGTGTACGGACAGAAGGCTCTGTCCTTTTTTTTTTCTTTTAGGAATCACTTAAAGGGGTAAAAAGTATACAACCAGCAGTCAATATGGCAGAAGAACAGCTGGAAAAACAACAGTAATACCGCAAATATAGACTCAGATATTTGTATCCAGATGATCCCTGACAGCTGGTAAGATCTGGTGTCTTAAGTTCCACAGTTTAAAAAAATCTTTGACCATCAAGGAGGAAGGTACAGATGAAATTAAAGGAGGGAAAAAGAGTGGAGAGGTCTGAGGGCTCATAAATGGAAGACATCTTGAGTTTTTTTTTTTTTGTCTCCTCAGAGCAGGCTGGACACAGATTATGGTAGACAAAGACAGCAAAGAGATACGACTCAGCCACCCGAGGATCTGGAAAGAGAAGAGAAAGAAAGCAGAAAAAAGGAGAGGAGAAGATAAAGAGGGGAAGAGAAGAGAAGAGATAAATAAATGAGGAATCTGAGAGAACCAACAGGGCAACTCAGACTAATTAAAACACGCAAGTTAGAGCAGCAAATTATTATTATAATTAAAAATAGCTGCTAGTTTCTTTCAATAATCTTGTTTATTGTTATATCAACTATGTGATGATCGATCATAAAAATAAAAAATAAATGAAATGCAAAACAACCAAGGTGTAGTCCTCCTTTTATTGTGGAAGTTTATGAAATGACAAAGGTGAAATTGCAGCTATATCGTAGTAATGGAAGTTATTGAAGGAGCATGCAGTACAAATAATGATGAAGCAAACTACTGTTATAGAACACAAATGGTTTCCTAACATTGGTTATGAGCTGATGCACATCCAAAAATAAAAATGTGAACATTTTACATGAAGATTTGCCTATTTCAAAGGCCCATCTATGTGAGGCCACGACAAACTAGCATAGACTGTATAAATGCTGGGCTATGTGGTGTTAGTTCATGCTTTTATATAAGTCTCTCTGTAAATAAACAGATCACATTACGAAGAAGAATAAGGCCAATTAAGGTAAGGTAACAGGTAGATGTGTGTGGGTTTACAAATGTCTCTGAGCCAGAGGGTTAAGAAGCTTCTTTTTTTATAAAACACATGGCATTTTGGGATATCATGTATGGTGATTCAAGACTCAGTTTATGCCTTCAAGTCAGGAGCAGGACTGAAAAGCTGGATCATACCTGCCCCTTCGGATGTTTCTGGATTGGGAGTAGACGCAGGAGCATGGCGGAGGAGGCAGACATAAAGAAAGAGAGAGAGAGAGAGAAAATGAGTGTAGAAGAAATATTTTGACACTGAACTGTTGTTGCATGTGAACAAGGAGTGAGTAAAAAATAAATAAATAAACGTGCAATGAATCCAAGGCTTCCAAAGCAAAAGCAGCAAACAGGCCTTGAAAACTTGCAGATTCATCATCTTTGTAACAGTGAACTTGCATCAGTCGTGTTAAAAGAGGCAGTTCTGATGCAATCAAACAAGCTGCAGTCATGAGATTACGGCAAACATATTCATGTTCAAGGTGTTTGTTCATACACATCCTGCAGGCATGCCACAGCAAAGCTAACAAGAGTGGAGACAGCAGTGTAGAGTGAGTTCAACAAAGTACAGAAAGAAGACCTGGACTCGGATTCATCCTTGTTTTCGGCAGATTGATGTTTTGGACCGTTAAAGGGATGGATTTGCTTTCATTTTAAAAAAAGACTAGTTATACATGTGTCAGAAAAAAACAGTAAAGACATAAAAGGTACTGCTTTGACTGCAGGGGGCGCCAAAATTGACTCAGACTAAAAGTTTCTCAAACAAGCTTTAACATTGTGCATACGTCAGCAAACTAAATGAATAAAATGAATACATCTCACACTGTCATGGACGTTCTTCATGGTTTCTTTCTCTAACCAAACCAGCAGGTCATACTCCATCTAGTTCAGATCCACCAACGCTATTGATTAACCCACACGGTCTCTGGTTGTGTGTATGGATCAGACAGCAAGCACAGCAGCATTCAGCAGTGAGCCACAAGCGTGTGTTAGCTGACAGAGGAACACAGCAGGCACACACAGATGGAGGCATGCCACAGCTCTTACTTAAATCCCCAGCCAGTTCCCCCCAGGACTATCGCTGCCACCAGAATAGCACCAGCAACCGAACCTATTATGATATTGGTACCACTGGGACCTGTGGGAGTGAAGGAGTCAGGCAGTGAGGGGGAAAAATACAGCATGAGAGTTTTTTTATTTTATTTTCAGGATTCCTGCTGAGTGTAAAATACCCCAAGAAGGAGTAAAGAACTTTGCAGTTTGCTCTCTCTCGCCACCTGAGGGTCGTTGAGAGCATAACATCTGTGTTTGTGCAAATATTGATCGAACGTCAGTCTTTCTGTTCTCTCGAGTCCCATGTTACTTGTTGATTGATACAAGAAAGTTTACAGTGGCAATCGTTGGTGTTCATGTTTTGTGTCATTTGGTGGGCGGGGCTTGTGAAGTAATAAGATGTAGCAAAGGAAGGTGCGAAAGGTTTTTCCACTACAATGCTCATGTTGCTTACTGCCACTTTAATACGTGAAATATTCTCAATATTTGTTATTAATTAATAAATGAGTTCCTTTGTTAGAAATGTGTGTACCCATAAGAAACAGGTATTTGTCTTGTGTGAAGCCCAATTTTTTTTAAGAGACATATAAAGAACTTGAAATATAAAGCAAAGAAAACTGTCTAACAAATGTAAAAGAACAAGTTGTCAAATCAACAATTCAATGCCTAGAAATCAAAAGCAAGAAAGTTTTAGTTTTTGAAAAAGTGTAGACTTTTTGGTATTCTGGTTAATTTCTACAAATAGAGTTTGCTGTGTTAATTCATGCAGAACATAACTTAACACCTTTTTGTGAGATTGTTTTTTTTTTTTTTTAATTGACACTGTAGTGAAGAAGTTCTGCATCTGCCATTGAAGCTGTGTGTGCATATGGCAGGTTTGTAGTTACTTTTTGTTTTGTTCATATTTCCTGTAACAACAGGCACTATGAGGTGAAAACGCCTCTAACTGTTCTGTGGGTGTTTGTAAGTTGAGACAAACTGCCCCAGTATGCCAGTATGTTACCTTTGTGTTTCTCTGGACCCTCTGGCGGGGTGGGGATGGGGATCGGGTCAAACACGCTACAGTCCTTCCCGGTGTAGTCTGGATCACAGATACACTTCACCTCGTTACTGCAAGTCTGAGGGACACAAATGAGGAACCTTACTCACCTTTTTCAATTCTCGTTAACTTCCTGAAACTCAAATGTTAATCTAAAAACTACTCAACACTAAAATCAGAAAGTTGGACTGCAGAGACACACTCACGCCGTGGTGGGAGCAGATGCGTGAGGTGGAGGAGCCCGGGCAGGTGCTGAGGTTGAATGTTGTGACAGGGAGGCAGCGACGCTCCAAACACATCATGTTCGGCCCACACGGTGCCCCATCCTCCACATAACCCAGATCCAAGCCGTCATCCAGCACAGCATGACCACCCCTGCATGTCACACAGTCAAGTTAAATCACAATTATTTATTTACTGATATATATATATAGCCTATATATTTTATTTACATAACTGGAATTTATTTAACTGGAACTTTTTTCCTACTTATCTCAGTAGATCGCTAATACAAATCATTTCCTTTTTAAAAAATCAAATAAAATCTGATTATTTTTTGTCCACAGGGGGCGCCAATATTGACACAAAATGAAAATTCCTCACAGAAGCTTTAATGTCGTAATGATGGTTGTGCTTTATGTCCCTCTAATCATAACCAGCAGGAGGGGTCATGTAAAGAAAGAGTGTTATTAGACAGATAAGATCAGCTCTATCCAGGAAGGACTCAGGATTGGTTGGATGTTTTTACATGCGGGATAAAAATACAACTTTTTTTTGCATTTTGACGACAATATTTTTTCTTCTGAGGTATTTTTAAACCCAGAAAAACACTGTCGTCCTTGGAACAGTTACAGGGAACACAACAATCTCCTTTGATCTTTCTGAGGAACTTTCTATTTTTATCAATTATGGCGCCCCCTGTGGCTAAGGCAGTAGCTCATTACTTTTCAGCTTTTGTCCTGTACATGTGTAAGCAGTGTAACCTTATGAATATCCCACTAACAGTCAAACGTATCACTTATCAGGAATATTTGCAGTAGAAAATGTAAAGAAAAGCTCTTTCGGCAGCGTGTAGCTAATCCTGTCACCTGAGAACTACCGCAGCAGTTTCAGGTATTTATAACAAAATAAAAATAAAAATACTCAATCTTGTTACTGATGGTCTCGTTTGCTTTTGTTGGTCATAAAGAAAAGACATCAGTAAATTTTCAGTCTGTTTCCTCACAAGCTAAAACTCCTCACTGGATCTTTATATTCAGCATTGTTTATATCTTTGTTTACTTGTTAACTACCTTGGTGTGTTTCTGCCCCCCTGCTGATCCGTGGTGTACAAGAAGAAAAAGTAACCCAGGTTTGATCCCAGCCTTGGACCCCTTACTGCATGTCATCCTCTTTCCCTTTTTTTTCCCCCTTCCACTTACTTTCACTTTTTCTTTCTAAATAATACAAATTTAAACAGTCCTTAAGTGTATGTTAACTTCAGGCTGTTGTATATAGACCCAGCAAGCAGCCAGAGAAAGGCTCCCTCACCTGCAGTCCATGTATCTGTTCTGGTGGTGGATGGTCAGACTGGTGAGCTTCCCTTGCAGTTCACCGAAGCGCGGCCTCTCTGTCAGGTTGGTGCACAGCAGCAATCCACAAAGAACGTCTCTGATGGAGACCAGGCAGAAAGGAGGAACATTTTTTAAAATGAAAAAAATGCAGAAAAGACTGCATTTAAAAAAAAAAAAAACACACCAACAAATTAATTAATTAATTAATTAGAAATGAAACTTACTGCTTGTTGCATTGCACCCATCCCTGACCACTGGAGTCTGGGCCACAGTTTCCTTTCTCTGTGCCCTCGGAGTTGAGCTTTTCATAGCAAAACCTGTCAGCTGAGTCTGAAAAGAAAGTTTGATTTCACTTCAAGTTGTCAGGTATTACAAAGCTCTTTTCAGAAAAAATCTATCATATTATTATTATAACCATAAAAGTCCTATTTTAACCATAAGATGGACTGCTGCACTGAGAAGTAAAGAATAATATCTAAACCTACTGTAGCCCCACAGACTCTTGCACTGACTATCTCTGGTCTTGCAACGACCTCCATAACAGCGACCCTGAGGAAGGGGAGGAGGAGGGGGAGGAAGAGGGTTAAATGATGAAGAGGGGACGCTCAGAAATAAAAAAATATAACATTAACAAGTAAGATGTCTTTACCTGTCCAGCATCACACATGTAGCCGTCCAGTTTGTGCACATTATGAGGACACTAAAAGAGAGGGAAATTATCTGCGTGTTGGATTTCTGATGACCAATTTTTTTTCAAGCATCTGGATAAACACAGGGACGTGCGTTTGAAGCCTCTTTCTTACCTGGCTGGAGTCTCCTGTGCAGGTCTCAGAAATGTCACAGTCGTTCACAGCATCACGACACGTCACCCCTCTCAGCTCGTACTGCCACATAACAACCAAAGAAGAAGAAGAGAAAAAAAACAGAGACGGGAAAGAACAGGGAGGTTAAAGAGAAATCAAAATGTAAGGGAGTCAATGAAAATGATTCAGTTTAAGGTGAGAGGTAGCATCTTACCTTACAGTCCCTGCAGCAGAGCCCGTTGCTGCACATTGCATTGTGGGTAAGGGTACACTTTTTACAGCAGTTGGCTCCACTACGGGCACACTCCTACGGATCAGAGAGGGTTTTAAACTGCAGATGAGATATCAGGCAACCATCCACAAAGCATGACGGCTGTGAATTTCAGCTTTACAACGAAACATAATGTAAATGTCTTAACTTTATTTTTTACACTCAACTATAAAATCAAGTGATTCTAAAAAGAAACAGAGTGCAGAATGTGTGATTATCTCCACAAGATATATCAGCAGCTTCATTTGAGGCAGGCCATTCTAAACTTATAAAAAGATTGATAAAGTTTATAAACCCTAGAGATGTTTACAGGGAGTGTTTGTATTCACAGCATAATGCAGTATTCCCTATAATTGGGAGTGGATACCAACAAGGCTTTCTAACAGGGCAGTTAGACAGGCTTTCATATCTGTTACCTTCTGCAGCTGAGGAAAAGGTTGTCAAAGGTCGACTTAAATTCAAAGGGTTGGCAGATACGTTTCTCTGATTCTAAAGTTATGTTTATGTCTCTTACTACCACCGAGAGCAGAGGAGCTGACAGGGAAGGAGACACTGTCTTCATTGCACAGATACATAGACCAGAACATACTGAAACGTTGTCAGGAGTTTGCTTGCTTTGCTTTTTGTTAATTAAAAACAAGAAATGACACACGATTGGGTGGCTTGTCTTTCTTGTTGCCATGGTTTTTGGGGTCAGGTATGACAACCCTAATTGAGAAAAATAAAGAACCCGGCCAACTACAAAATGTGTATTTCAAATGAACTCACCACAAGTGATCCACAGTCACATTCCTCTCCGATCTCCACATATCCATTCCCACACTCCGGCGTGTCCAACAACTGCAACGTGATAGAGGTGACTAAAGTAAGTGAATCTGCACTGGTTATTGAATCATTATCAAAAACACTATCACCATAAGCTAACAGTCAGCAGAGTCTTTCAGAGGATGACAGACCATCTCATCTCACCTTGCTGGGCTTGTTGAAGAGACAGCTGCCTCCCCCTAGTTGGAGGAAACGCAGGTACTCGTCTATACTGCAGCGAGAGAACTTCCGAGGCAGGTTGAAACTAATTAATACGAAGAAGAAAACACAAAGACGAATCACTGTTACATTCACAGTATTGATTAAAATCTCAAAAGTTTGAGTGAAAAGTGATAACCTGTCTACCAAACTCTTGTCGGCGTAATGCCTAAATGCTTCTACAAGCAACATTTCGTCTCCTTAAAGCTCCACTGAGGGACTTTCGGTTAGTGTGTAATGTTTAAACAAAAACTCTCACCCTGCTTTATTAAACAGTTAAATACATAACAAGAATAGCAATGCTTGTTTGTGTTGATCACTTTGCCTGATATCTTTCGCTTGCCAGCAGTTTGAGACATTAAATATTAAAATATAGAAAATAATCAATCTAGTTGATTATGCTCTCTTGTGCTTTGGGAGGTCTTAAAGAGACAATGATATCAGTCTGTTTAATACCCAGCTATTAACTCCTTGCAGAGGCTTTAACTGGACATTACTTTGTGGCTTGCCGTCAAAAAAGGAAGTCAATCAAGAAAGAAAGAGAAATAATCAATCAAATCAAAGTCAATACAACTCCAGAGGTTCAATTATTTCAGTCTTTGTTATTCATTTTACGTCTAATAGTTTTTTTTTTTTAATTAATGAACATTTAATTAAATGCATACCCTGTGTCCTCCATGATACAGCCCAACCACGGGTCGGGACACCTGCAGTCTCCTTGACAGAAACACACACACACACACACACACACACACACACACACACACAAATGTATTAAAAAAAATGAATGCAGTGCTATAAAACCACCACTTGAGGGACCTGTAGTGCAGCCACTAGTGTTACTGTAATAAAAATGTTTGCAGTCAAAACTGAATTTTCTTCTGTTTTAGAAATAGATTTAAACTCCTTGGGTTCACTTCAGGCAACAGTACTCTTTGTGTACTGACTCTTTGTGTGATATCTGATGAAAGTTACAAATGGGTTATCCTTACCAGCAGCCGGCCTCTCTTTGTTTCTCAGCATGCCGATGTTCTGGCCCAGACTCTGACACAGTGTGATGGCCATCGGGCCCACACTGCCGAACTGACGACGCACAAATACACATGTTGACAAAACAACTTGAAAGAAAACACAGTTGACTTTCCTGAACTCTTAAAACACATCACCTATTCTGCATAAAAGCATTCTCATTTATTTAATAAGTCAAGTTTTGTGAGCTGAGTCAGTGTCTCTGATCTGTAAAAGATGCAGGTCTCACCTCATTGATGCCTCCACCTCTGGTGATGGAGCAGATTCCCCCTATGTAGGCGGCCTCGCTGCGGCTGCTCATGAAAGTCCTCCCACTGTTGTAGAAGAAGAAGGAGAAGAAGAAGAGAAAAGGGAAGAAGAAAGGAAAAGGTCAGAGGGGGAGGAGGGGGCAGAATAAGGAGGAGAGGAAAAAGAAAGAGGAGTGGGAGGAGGAGAATAAAAATAAGAAAGAAGATGAAGACAAAGGCGAGATGAGAAAATACAGAAAAAGAAAAGAAAAAAATGAAGAAAGAGTAGGAGGAGGATGAGAAGACTGAACTCACGAGAAAAGGTGAACAGCGTCACAGCGCTCCTTGATGCTCTCCTTCCTGTACTTCATGAAGTCTCGGAGGGTGAGCAAGGCGTCGTCGCCCACAAAGACCTTGTTCTCAGAAGACCAGGTTTCCATGGCCACCAGGACGATGCGAGTGTTGAGCTGCTCCTTAAAGATCTGGACTCATCAGACAAGGAAAAAGAAAACACAGAAAAATGAACAGAAACTACCAAAACACACTCAAAAATGTGTCCTAAAGCAAAAAGTGATTCAAACAGAACTGAGAAGAGTCCTAAAAAAAATTAGTTGCTAGAGCCTAAACATGCTAATTTGTGAAAAATGTAACGTGAGTGATCTGATGAGTGTTAGAGGATGCATAACTTTCTTTTCTGTTTCCCCTGAGCTTAGAGTGAGACACTTAAACTATTTATTCATAAAGTTTTCCTGAATCAATCTCTCTCCAACCTTTAAGTCAAATTGTAATCACTGCTATATATCGTCAAATATTGTCTGTCCATAGCACTCCTGGTCAGATCGAGAACGTGAAGGAACTGGAAACACAAGATCAGTGTTGAACTTATAAATCTGTAGCCACGGATACATTGGTGCATACCTCATGATTTATAGTTCAGACATGAAACCTTCACTGATTACTCACTTGAATTGTATCGATTACTATGAGCCAGTTTCAGAACAATCCAACTTTACCTTTGAGTTGTTTTTTCACAGATATTGCTGGAAGGTTATCGGGATGAGTCCTTCTCATGGACGGTATAAAAGAAGTGGACCTAACACATTTGTGTGTGGACAACTACAGTGAAGACTCATCTTTGCAAAATTGACTGTTGCAGTCTTGTGACATTCAGCAGAGAGAGTGATTCCTTTAGCACACAGCTTACAGCACTCACTTGTCATTTGAAGGGATCACGTCCATAACTTTGAGCTTTAATATGCTTTAAAGGGGTTTCTTTTTGAGAATGTTCATCTGCTCGTTTCTGTCTGTTAATGCTATGAACACATTTGTTTCTGCTGTTCAGGGCATTTGCAGATTGACTCATATTTAGAGACAGCCCACCACAATTATTTTCAAACAGAGTAAGTGTTTTTTTTTTGAGAGACTTGTTTTTATGTCGTGCTGAAATTGATGCAACTTTTTATATCTTATTGATCTAACCCTAATCAATAGAGAAAGATGGGATGACTCCAATTTAATGTAACTGCGAAAAATTACACGTGTATTTATTTGTATATTCATAAACATGGCATAATGAGAAACATTAGAAATATTCCTTAAGGCTCTCATTAAATGATGATGAGGATTCCAGAGAGGGGTCAGGGTCACAGAGTTGAGTGGGAAGGACAATCGAGAGATTTGTGATTGTACATACACAAAATAGAAACTCTGATACACAGCAGGCTTCTACACAATCTGAGGAGGAGGTGGTTAAAAATAAAAATGTCAAGACTATCCAACAGCTCATGGCTTTTTGTGAAAAAAAAAGAAAAAAAAAAGGGATGGCCGATGTCCAACTCGAGAATACTGCAAAATGTGGCAACTCTCCTAGGAAAGCTCAAGAGACTCCTTTTAATAGATTCATTATGAAATACTGCCATCTTTTTTTAAATTATGTGATTTAAAGAGGACGTTAACAGAAAAGTCTTTAACTATATTTCCTCTTACCGCATCGGCCATGTTCACCACTGCTTTGGCAAAGTTCTTAGTCTGAGTGGCCGACCGACGGACCTGCACAAACTAAAAAAAAAGAGGAGAAAAACACTTAGTTACCTTGTTTTTTTTCGTTTGAATTTCACTGTTTTTAACATGTTTTGCAGCTTTAAGTGTTAAACATACCAGTTCATGGTCGTTGACAACCATCAGCTCGATGTACTTGGTCTCAGTCTGGACTGTGCGCTGTCCTCGTCGCACCTGGAGGAGGTAAAATAAACCCACACAGCCAGACGTTTGAGTCCTCTGTCATATTCACCTTCACACAGGACAAGCAGACACACTCAAAGCCAGCAGGTGAAACCATAACTCACACTGAGCGCACACACCGACAGACACACACACACACACGCTGATGCTGCTGAAACTCAACTCTTGGTCCTTGAAAGGGCAACAACAACTTGGGAAAGCAACAACCATTCATTCATTCAATAACCTCAATATATCCTCGGCATGTACAAAGATAAATCTCAGCTTCTGTATCCGATTATTTACAAGAAGGAAAAGTACTTTTGAAGAAGCAGAAACTTCCTTGATATAGTTTCACATTAAATATTCCAGACTAAAATAGTGACAGTCGTTATGGTCATTATCTTGTAAGATTCTCACAACAAAAAAGTATGGACAAGAGAGCAGACATACATGGGTGCTATTTGCTTTCACGTTCACGTTCAAACAAAGTTCTTGATAATCAGGCCAAAATGTTTTCTGACTGTCTGAATATTCTTTTGTGTTCCCAGATTTTAACAATCAACTCGGTGTATATAGATGTTTTTTAGAACAGGGATGGCAGACGCTCAGTGGTAGAATCTGTTGTGTGCTTTGTCTCTCAAACAGAAGGTCAGCAGTTCAATCCCAGCTCCTGCAGTCCACGTGTCAAAGTGTACTTGTGCAAAAAAGCTGAACCCCAATTTGTTCCTGGTGGTAAAGCCTGGGGACGTGTGAATATGTTTGACTGGGATTAGTCAATTCTGATAAGAGACTTCTCCTACGTGGCATCGTCTGCCATCAGTGCGTAGATGGGTGAATGTGTGATACTATTTACCATGCATCATTTGAGTGGTCTGAATACAAGAAAAACTCATAATTACAGCCCATTTCCCATTCACAACATGAAAGAACAAAAAAAACAGTTGTGAGATTTACGGGTAATCTGTGAAATTACTCTTCAGTTATTGTCAATAAATCAACGAAAAGTAAACCTTTTAACCACATGTTGGTGCTTAATGATATATCAGGAGATCATTCAAGCTGTTACAGTCATTACACTTGTCACACTCTTTACCTGTACTGCAGGCTTTCCTGTAGAAATGTTCATGTTTATTTATTCATATTTTGAGCAAGAGAGAGCTGGGGAATGACTAGTGGGAAAAGTGTCACAGGTCGGATTTAAACCTTTGAAGACTACAGCTCCTGTACATGGAGCGTGCAAGCTAACCGCTAGACCCCCTGCACCCCTCCTGTACAAATATACACCAAGCCCAATCCAGGGATCATCAAGGGACATCACTTGAATTATTTTCTTTGATTTTAAAAATCTAATTTTTTTACCTTTTGATTCTGTTCATAAAATCATGACAGCTGAAAAGAGCTGGCAACATCCGATTGGAAATTTGGAAACATTTGACAGACTTCTCTGTAAAATATTAATTGTGTTTGCACATTTCAACTCCGACGTTTCCCTCATGGTGACATGTGCAGCACTGCTTGCCACATGTTCATGGCAGGACATCTGTGTGCAGAAAGAAAGAGACTATCTGAATACTGACTTGTCTCTTTGAGCGTCTCAGGCCTTTTTTGAAAACTGGCTTCTGCTCCTCGGACCAGCCATCTCCGCCTTTTTGCTCGCCCTCTTCTTCGACATGGCTGTTTGTCTTCTCCTCATGTCCTGTTCTGTTCATTGAGCATCCTGGGAAATGAATGCATAGAGTGAGAGAGAAAAAATGGCAAGTCATCAACCAAGGATGGATGTAACCACGTTTTTAGTGCACAGAACTGCAGGAGTAATCAATATAATAGCCAGTGGAGGAGAAAGGATGAGAAGGGGGGGGAGGGGGGGTATAACTGGAAGAATGGGGGAAGAGGCAGGGAGGCAGGGGTTGGGTAGCAGGAAGAAGAGGAAGGAGATGCGTCCAGAGAAGAAGAGTGTTAGGGACAGAGAGGAGAGGCAATGAAATTAGACATTTAACAAGGGTGAGGAGGACAACTAGAGGACTCGAGGAGGACGCTGTGAGCTGAAAAAAAAAAACGACTTGCATTACAGAACATTGGATTGTTTAAGATCTTCAATTTCAAGGACAGAGCTGATTTCTTTGACTTACAATCAAGCAATGGCACAGCATGTGGATATAGGTGTAACAAGCTGCATCCTGCCAAGGTTTTAACAAGATCTGAGTTTGATATATATTCAGCACCCAGAAAAGAGCTAACGAATGAAGCTTGAAACATGGACTACTTTGAGAGTTGAGAAAGTCCATACTTTGTATTAATGCTGAATTTGTGCAGAAGATATTGTATGTAGCTATATAATGTAAAAGTGGATCGGAGGTTGAGATTTTGTGCCAATCAAATCTTGATCATTACATCACAAATGATTTCAAGACTTTCCATCACAGTGGGAAATGAAAACGAGGAGTTTCCGTGTAGAGTTTGATCTTCTGTAAGCCTGACCGTGGTCTTACCTGGACAAGGAGGTGGAAAGAGGTCGATGTCTGGCATGCGATATATAATGTGTTCGTTGTACTCCTCCTGAAAGGTGTCAAATGAAACAAAGACAGACAGAGAGAGAGAGAGAGAGAGAGAGAGAGAGAGAGAGAGAGAGAGAAAACAGATGTATATGTTTATGCAATAAAGTTTACATTAAAAACAATAACTTTTTATCTGTTTAAACTTCTTGTGGTATATGATTACTCAGAGAAATTCCTGCATTGTTTTCAATTCTTTGATAACACTTCAGCGACAAAACACATCTCTTGAAAATTTGATCGAGGATAGAGAAAAGTAAGTGTTTCTGAAATATGATTATTATAACTTTTTAAAGGATCCATATACAAGCCAGTGTCAGATTGAACATCACTTTAAATATATCTGCTTGAACAAGAATGAAAACGCCAGAAAGTCATGTTAAAACTTCCCTTTCTTCGCCAACAGGAAATCCCAGAATAAAACCAAGGCAGACAGGAAGTCCCATCAAGAATCTGAATTCTCTCAGCATTTCACTCTGCATTTATCATTTTTACAAGATGAATTACTATGGAGGGTGCACAGAAGAGCCTAGCTGTGTGATTTACTACTCCAGAAATGTAGAAACAGGGATAATACGTTTTTAAAAAAGTTTCTGATACTTAATGAAAATTTCAAAAACAAATAATAAGTCAGTTGCAAGTATCACAAATTACCCCATTTTAACTAAAATGTTTCAGTTGTTATTATAAAGGCCATCAAATTCCCTTTTCATTCCCTTGAGGATGCAACTGAATGTGTTTTGACAGAAAAGACAATAAAGCATATCTTATCTTTTCATAATACTACTTTTTTTTTACCATACTAACATTTAATTGAAGCAACAATATCTTTAAGAAAAAAGCACAAAAGTCACTTTTTGTTGACATCAAATCTGCTCTTTATGAAAGTCGACATCCCCGCGAACAAAACAACAACATGCTTTTAAAACAATCAATGCTTGAAATGACTTCTTCTCATCGTTAACCTTTTTTCTTTTTTTTTTTTTTTTTTCCCAGTCGCCAGCTTCTCTCTCTGTGTGAAAAAGCTTTGCCGTGTCCTCTCAGGGTGAGAGACGGACCAACAGGAAGGAAAGTGCTCTGATGCATAATTAATCAATCACAGGGCTGTCATAATGGCAATAACACTGCTGGACACTGTGGTACACTTGAGCTGGGGATAAATACTTTATGAAAATGACCCATCGGAGATATGGAGCCGAGTGGAGGGAGAGAGAGAGAGAGAGTTTGAAGACGAGCTGGGCAGCCATTGATCCATCTCTGCAGTCTATGTAATTGAGCTGCACTTCGATTACAGTGAATCTTAATGGGAAAAAAAAGCAGCCTCTTCCAGTCTAAACACTTTCACCCTATCCCCTTTGGCCACTCTGTTATATGTCTCTTTTTTTTTTACACTAGATATACACTTAAATCAAATCTAGGTATTTTGGAAAAATCTAAAAAGCCTCTTAACCTTTTTTGGATTTGTCAATTATTTTATATTCCCACTCTCTCCCTCCTGTTTTCCGATGCGTTGTGTATCAACTTGATACTTTCCATACAGCAGCACAGAGATAGAGTATCACTGTCTGGACTGACCGTAAGTCGTGCAGTGATATGGAGATGGAGAGAGAAAGTGAGACTGAAGGCAGCTTCACTGTGAAGATTCAAATAGTTCTTCAATGACTTTAAAGGGTTAGTGTCAGTTTTGTGTGACTTTTTTTTTTCTTTCACATGACACTGATGCTGCTTTGGTTTGATGCCAAGAAAGTGGATATGTGTGTGTTTACCAACTCACCTTGCCACTGTCAACAGGTTCAATCCCATACGAGAAGTTCCCATCAGAAAACATGCCTCTGAAAAAAACAAAAGCACAGCAGTGTGTTAGAGTACGCCTGAAGCTGCTCTGAGATGTTAGAGGTGGATCCCTGAATGGCAGCCAGGATGTGAAGGAAGAGTTTTAAAAGAATAAATATATCAAGAAATACTTAGATGCCACCTTCATGTATCTACTTTTAAATGTGCTTTTTTTTTAATGATCTTGCACAAAAACACAGACAAGATAATTACCACCACTTACTATAGGCAAAATTAGCATGATGGATCCTAATAGTTATCAAATACAAACAAATCCTTTAATTTGGTGCTCTTCATTATAACATTTTTAGCAAATATATAACACTTTAACCTAATGTTTAGTTTGTGTTGATCTATATTTTCCCCAAGTTTTTGGGGAATAAATCAGATTACATAGCCATAGTGAAGCAATAACCAGCGCAGGATTAGTTTGGCACGGGGAAGTGAAACAGCCTGACCTGGGAAAAAAAAGGTAGCAAATTGAAACATCTTTTTTTACTCTTTGATAAAAAAAAGTAAGTTAAAAAGTCAGAATAGGACATAGTGGGTGTTGTGAGTATAAAAAAAAGAAGAAAAAAAGACCTAGATTAGCCAAGATAAGAGCTGAGTTAGATAAGTTCAGTTAGGTTCAGAAATAAATTCAACCATAACAACTACGAGCTTCGGCTTAATATTTAAAGATTATGTTAGAGAGAAAATTAGTAAGCAGATTAAAATGTTAATCTCCCCTTTGAATTGAAGACTTTTAACGTGCAAGTATTTTTATATGCAACTCGAAATACCTATATACAAAAAAAACAACTTTTGATCTGGATTGTGTCAGGTGAGTTCAGGGGGGGAATCTCACTCACTGAAGGCCGTGGCAGGTGGCAAGAGCGGCCCAGGAGCCGGGCGATCCCCGCACTCGCCCATGGTAGTAACAGTGCTCTCCTCCCTTGAAGAAAATAAAAATCAGAGTCAGACATTTAACGCCTCATCACCTTGTAACGTGTTGAAGAAAAAATCATCAATGACGTGAAGCCCTTATTGTTGCTGATCTCCTGGCCGCTCTATACAAACTGGGCCTAGTGTTTACTGTCAGTCTTTGGACTGCAGCAGACCCGGTGGGTGTTTTTTTTTTACAGAGACCTCAATTTACATTTTCCATCATGTTTATAATAAAACAACAATAAAACATTGATTTGTTGTAATTTTGTTAGATTTAGCCATAATATTTGGCTAACAGCACTTGGATTCAGACAAACATCCTGTTGCAAGTAGCAACCACTACTAGCAAAGTTCCATCGCAGCATACGTAACTAATTGGCATATTCAAGAATGTAAACCTGCTAAACCACCAACTTTGACGTGTAAAATCAGTAGTTCACATTTAACGGTGGATAAAAAGCCACATTTTTCACGTTTGCAACCGTCTATCAGCCCTCCTGTAAGGTGTTAGCTTAACAGATACCTTTACCTGATTATTCATAATCCCCTAAAAGACTCTATCTGGATGATCGTGTTTTCAATATAGTGTTTCCACTTGGCCTCTCACAGTACAACAGTGATCAGATTACTCCAACAAAAGAGGAGACTTGCAACTGTCACTCAAGCAACACGTGCATGTGTCAAAATACAACTAAAAGTTCAAGATAAAAAAAACAATCTGTGCAGTGCAGGGATAACTGCACTAAGGATGTTTTTATATATAATCAAGCAGAGTTATTGTAAATGGATGAAGATAAAAGAATGTGTCTCTGCTTACAGTAACTTGGATCTAAGAAGTTAGTTTGTGTGTGTGTGTGTGTGTGTGTGTGTGTGTGTGTGTGTGTGTGTGTGTGTGTGTGAAAGAGAGGGTCAGTTTCAGACGCTTGTAATGTACCCCAATAAGTCTGGCAACTGAGCCTGCTGTTGTCTGGCAAGGTTGATAGACCAAAAAGAAAAGAGGCAGTGTGAAGTTGCAGTTCTGTATGCTTGGACAACCTTTACTCTGACCTGAAAACCCTATCAAGCCTTTCAAATATTGTACAAACTTGTACTAAATAATTTCACTGTAAAAATATGACTTCTTCGACACCGAATGTAATCCCTTAATAACACAGGCTGCCGTGTACGTGTTGATGAGAAATCAATGGCTTGCCTTGTTTTTTCTGTAAACCACAGCATCACTCTCCAATCCAACATGATTCATACACAGTTCTGATAGAAAGCAAAATATCAATAGCTTCTATTTGTCAAACATATGTCAGATCTCAGAGGACACAAAGTCACAGTGCTGTTTCTTAGAACAGACAGCTTGAGAGACAGCAAACATGTAGTATTGAGGCTTTTTGTGTCCTTTGTGTTTGACACTTTTCTTTGACAGACTTAAGAATCTGCTGAAATCAGAAACATTAAATGGCTTCAACTGCTTTACCAAGAGTTCAACATGATTGCTTTACATCTGCCCAGTTTTTTTTTAAAATTATGATATGAACACAGACACTTTCATCAACATCACTACACCTTGCGTCATGCTGGAAATGCATCGAAATTCCTTTTAAGACCCGCAAGGAAGTACAAGAAAGGTTTGCACAAAAGTATTGATTAAATAAAACATCACGAAGTACAAACTAACCAATTTTAAAAACGTAAAAACGAGACAAGGGGTTGACAAACCATGTTGGCAGTTCTTCGACGCTGTGTTTACAGCTAACATAAGCATGCTAACATCCTGAAGTTTAACAGGTATTATATTTTCTATAACCATCATTTTAGTGTAACATTTCAGCATGAGACAAGAGGGGATCACCAAAGTCAGTATGCATGGTCTTTCAGGGATCATGAATGTCTGCACAATATTTCATGGAAACATTAAGGTACATCAGTCTTGACTAGAATAGTGGTCCCATTAACACTGACAGTCTATCTAGCTTTGCAGCCAGCAAAGCCAGGTATTTTTGTTGAACATATTTAGACTTGGTGTCCGTTTATCAGTTGAGGAAGAAATGTACTTGAATCATTCATACCGAATAGTGAGACAGCCTGCAGCACTTAGTCAAGGGGCAAGAAAATAAATAAATAAAAGGTAGGATTACGAGGCTAAATGGAGGAAATCAAATTGCCTGACACAGCAGACACACTCGGACTGAGAGAGACTAAGTGCACTTTTCAGAGAAGCAAATGTGCTTCAAATAATTGCCACTCACTCCTACAAATACAGCACATTGTATGATAAATCATGGATTAATGGTGAAATATCAGTGCTGTGAGGACAGGGACAGGTTAGCCTGACAATAGGTGAGTGACTGAAAAAAAATGAAACGCAGGAAAATAACAAGGTCAATTGGTGACTCTAAATTGCCCGAAGCTGTGAATGTGAGTGTGGCTGGTTGTCTGTCTATGTCAACCTTGTGATTGACTGGCGTACAGTCCACGGTGTACCCTGCCTCTCGCCCAATGACAGCTGCGAACGGCTCCAGCCCCCCCGCAACCCCGAATGGTAAAAGCGGTATAGATAATGGATGGATGGGTCCTGCGTCATCATAAACTCTAACTGAATTAGAAAAAGCCAGAGTTTATTCTCCGTCTGGACTTTGACTCAGCAGAGTCAAAAAGCAAGATGAAAAGGGAGAGAGATGGTAGCACAATAGCTTCAGTTAGTTGTAAAAGATTTCCTCTGTCATAAAGTGAAGCATTTTTATTAACAAATGTGTTTTTTCATATATAATAAAGCCACACTGGCTGAAAAACATAGACTGAATACATTCACATTTAAACTATTCAGGGAATAATCAATAATAGGCTAAGTTATTGATGATGTGATTGTGTTTGATTCATAATCAGAAGGCCCCGTCACCAAGACTACTATAAAAAAAATGCAATGCTGCAAGCTGATAGAGAGTGGTAAATGTGGTCTATCACTTACAATGTCAAAGGAGCAAGTTCTAAGGAGGACAATAAAAAGTCTATGCAAGTCAACCCCGTCACTTTTTTCCTCATCTCTAATTCAGTTCATCTCTTGGTCCCATTACACTGAGATTCAATTTGAAATGAGCAAGTCAACAACTCAGTTTAATTGCAGAGATTCTAAGGGACCAAGAAAAAAAACGACACTAAAATGCAAGAAGAATTTATTGGCACATCAATAATACCAAATAAATCCAGATGGAGATGGGAGGGTGGGGGAGGGGCCAGAAGGAAATGTCCATAAGAGCAATTTGTGCAATCTACTGTGTAATTGGTCTGTAGATGAAAGTAGGTGTTTGCATACATATCAGAAAATGTGCAGATATTTAAATGTTTAGCACGTATAGTAATTTAGCCATACAAATATAGTATGTCGTTTTACTATCATGTGCGACATCCGAGCCAATCCTGAACAACTACTCATCCCCACAATGGGATTCCAATTCAAGATATTGGATCAATTTCCTTTATACGGATGTTATTACTAGTATCAACAAATGCAAGGCCTCTTTCTTTACCTTTCTATTGACAATTGTACAGTTTTCCATCAAGACCATACACCATAGCTGCTTTGCTCCAACAAATGTACAAAATAACCACATCATTTGACATAATTTATTCAATTAATACCATATTCCTAATTCTAGCATAAGCTTCTGGTACACAGACCAAATGGGCTTGATTCAGAACACTAGCCAATTCAAATTGTTTTAGTGTGTTTATCCTGCCATACCAACATCATGACAAAAAATCATGGTGTGCCACAAGGATCCTTTCCTGTGTCACTATAATTTCCAAAACTAAATACACTTTAAATGAAAAGGTTTTGTTGGACTCGTGATTTGTTGGATGTGTCATATTACATCTTTGATGTTTCCCTAAATAGTCTACGCTCTGTCTGTCTTTTTGTTCAGTTGCCATACTGCCAACATTTAGAGCCCTGGTGAAACCTTTTTAGCCACAAGAAAAAAGGGAGAAGGAGGATCCTTTACATTTGGATCAAGATAAAAAAAAACCCAGATATGATCACTTTTTTACCATGTGCCAATAAACCTCTGATTCTTCGTAATTTTAAATATGTGGTTGCAAAGGTCAGGGCAGAGGATGGTTGTAAGATTTGGTTCAGATGGTTCAGGAAGTGGACATGATTTGAATTCCCCTCACAACATGACAAAAAAGACCCAAGCTGCTGCTGCTGCTGACTGCTGGTACCCATGGTAACTGTCTACTGATTGGTCAGGTGGTCTTTTGCAGAGAAACAGAGGCATAGAGATAACAAAAGGGGACAGAGAGAGGGAGGGGACAGCGGAGGGAATCATTTCCTCAGATGGAGTAAAGAGTCAAGCTGTCTGCATGAACTGCCTTTCTGTGAGAGGTGGTAACAAACTAGATGCACATCTGACCATAATTCTAGAGATTCAGCAGATTTTGTATAAAGATGGGAAGCAGAGTACGCAGCAACATGAGCTAACACTAGGCCATTGCACACCTGAAGCAAAACATCTTTATATTTATATATTTACATTTAAGGACAAAATAAGAGCATGCACTGCTTATATAGATTCTGTTCAATTTCACTCTGGGGTATGCACCCATCAAAAATGTTCTCCTACACAGTGGACAAAAAGCTAGTGGTGCAAGCATTGGTACAAAATCTATTTATATCAAAGTGGCTGTGATTAAAAAGGAACCCAACTGATTTCTATTCATATCACGGATAGAAATTGGGTTTCCAACATTTATAAAAATAATTAAATTAAGGAATTGCTCAACATTTATTTAATTTATTTTTATTTTTAGCCCAGCTACTTGCAGCTTAAGCCTCAATGCTCACATTAGCTGTATTTCAAACACGCAGGAGTAAGTGCTCAAGGCAAAGTTTTTTTTTCTTGGATTAGAAACTTAAGATTCAACTTGTTTATTCTCGACTCTTAAGGTTGGTTTCAGATGTGGGTACCTTTGGCCAGAAGCTGGCTTGCAGTTTTTTTTGTTTCCAGTGTCATTAACAAGCTAAGCTAACTAGCAGCTAGCTGTAGCATTACATTAAATAAAGACAAATACTACCTGCGAAATTAGTAAAAAGAAAAAAGTAAACAAGTATATCATTTAAATAAGCAAACGAGTTCAATAGATTACTCTTACCATATTCATTGATAGCTGCCCTTCCTCATCATAGTGACGCTCCACATAATCTGTAGACAGGAGGTCGCTGCAGAGAAAAGGAAGAAACACATGAGGAACACAATATTCATTTTTACGGGATTTCAGTGCTTTAATAATTGTCTGAAAAGGCAAGATGATGCTGCCATTAGAGGCCAATATGAGTCATTACTCTGGGCTGCTTTTTAACAGAATGTCAATCAGCATCAAACATGATGAATGTGGGTAAAGTTAAACCAAAATGTGTGAAGATTCATTTAAATCTAAGAGAGTCAAAGAAAGGTGTTACATAAAAGCAGCCCATTAGAGCAAATGAAAAGCGAGAAGAGGGGGAGGGGGAGGTTTACTTTCAAAGTGATGTTTAGCCCTCAGACTGTCTGTATAATGCCAACACATACATACTGTACAATGCTGAAGGTGGGCGAGAGAGACGGAGGAGGAAAGACATGCAGTAAGAGTGTGCAGGCGTAACTGCTGTAAACACAACATTAAACACTGTTTGTGCCTCCGAGGTGAGGATGTGTGGACGTTCTGCAGGAAGACTTACTGGTTGAGTTCCAGGTCAAGGATGAAGGATTTACCAAAGGCCTCCACCAAGAAACTGCTCTGGGCCAGATGGACTGGCTGAGAGGAAGAGTTGGGAGAAAAAGTTATTAAATAGACTGTAGAGAATGAAAAAAAAGAGACAGACAAGATGTCTACATTTGGTTTATTTTCTGAGATACTGATTTAAGTAGCAACACTAATGCTGTTTTCACCCATGCACAAACTCGTGAAAATTGTGAGCTGCATGTGTGAATGCAATTAGCCGAATTCTTCACCCCAACTTTGCTAAGACTTATTTTCCTGCCAGCCCCCTGGTTAAATTTCCATGTGCATGCTGCAGGAAAACTCAGGTAAATTCACCGCCAGCTAGCGGGCAGGGTAATGCCTTTTATATCATGCGGCCGGGGCAGGACCAGTAAGATCTTCATGCATGCAATGGAACTGCGTCATACTCTTTTCAGCTCGCCAGAATTTTCTTCTTCACTCTTCACTCTAGAGTGTGAATGCATCCAAGAACACATTGCATTAATATTAAGGTCAAAACTCTGTCCCTTGGAACTTTGTTTCATGTCTGGCCTCCTTAGACCCCTTCCCTCCTGTCCAACAGGGTAAACTTCATGCTGTGAGGGACTTGTGAGAACAGGTAACTCATGAAGACTTCTGGGGCATGCTGTATGACATTTTCTAGAGATTTTCAGGAGTGCATGTCTGAAAACAGCAACATAGTTAGTACCTAGTCTCTACATCTTACATCTATCGATCCTTTTTTAATATATTAATATTTTGTGGGGCATTTTTGCCCTTATAGGATAGGGCAGCCGAAGAGTGACAGGAGATGTTGAGAGGAGAGAGTTGGGGGTTGACATGCAGCAAAGGGCAGAGGTCGGATTCAAACCTACTGCTGCCGCGACAAGGACTGGATGTTTTCATGGAAATGTTGAGAAAAAATGCCAGAATACCATTACAGGAAGTGATGGATGTTTATTATGAAACAATATAACACCGTGTGTAAAGAGACAAATGCAACAAATGAAGGGACACCCTTCTTCAGTAGCCTCTCCCTTAAGATGAGACAGCCCCATCCATCGCAATGGCTTGTTAGATAAATTTGGTGTTTGGCATTAACAGCTCTGTATAACCTTGTTTCAAGGTGAACCTCGTCCAGATTATATTATTATAAAACTGTGCTCTGTGGTGGCTCCCATCAGTACTTAATGGCCAGTTGCAGGCTGGGCAGGTCTCATTAGTATTAGCATGCACTCATTAGTATTAGCATGCACTCTCTGCAAACCACTTAGTCCCAATCCAGACCTCCACTGGGTCCATAAGCCCACTATGGTCACTATGGTTACCCATTAGCAGAGGAAAGACAGCAGCAACAGAGCTCTGACCTGCATGTTTTCAGTCCAAGTAGTGCTGTAGTCTTCAGCAGCTCCTGATTGTACGTTCATTCTATGAAGCTGAACATGATATCAAATATAATGCCACTAAAAGTTCTGTGTATATCTGTTACACCAAAGACGATTAGACACTTTACATTCCTATTTTTAAACTGGAGAACAATATTATTAACGTCTCTAATAGGGTCAAATTCTTGGCTATTTTATCACGGAAAAGATGACTGGTGATGATATTTAAAGGTAATAGTCCAAGATATTCTCACAAGAAAACATTCTTGCGTGCATGTTTAGCTTGTGTTCAGTTCAAAGCATGTTGTACACCTCTCTATACTGCACACTTAGGGATAAACTATAAGAAAGCAAGCATGCAGAGGCTACAAGTAGCCTATAAGGCTTTGAGAATATTACAAGAGACCGAGATGGTGCAGTGCAGGTGAGATGTTAGAGTCAGTACTGTCCGAGCTGTCATAAGAACCTTATACATTTATATCCAGACTTGACGCCTCTGAGAATGAAATCAACTTGTTCCTTTCTAATATCAGTTACAGTACTGTCCGTTACCAGTTCCAGATTTGGAGACATTGGTACAGATTCCTATTTTACAACTTTATATACTCATGTAAATTAAAAATGATTAGCCTTATTGAACTTTTGAGTGTCTTGAGTCTGTAATAAAGTTTTGAATAGAATTGAAATAGAATTAAATCTTGAATATGTAACCAACTGAGTTCTGTTTCAAGGGCACCTTAAAATTAATTCACAGTAGCCCCTCTTAAATGATCTACAAATAGAAACTGCCATCTACATTTATATTTTGCCTTTTTGCGTTGAATTCGTTGACTAGGATCATTTTTTTTAACCAATTCAAATGTCAACAAAACTAGGTGCAGCATTGCCATTCCTACATCCGCATATCCAATTTTTTTTTTTTTTCCGCAAGCTCCGTTTGGTGTCAGCTCCAGAGAGTAATGTTTTTTACTATAATATGGCTGGTACTGGACAATTAGAATACAAGAATTTTGTATGAAACTTAGCTTGCTCCTAAAGGCAACATTAATGAGAACAACAAGAGCTTATCATTTGTTCTTTGTAAAACCAAAAGAAAAAGCTTAAAGACACTAAAATGCTCCATTGTTGAGATGGAAATGAAGAGTCTGGTGATGGCTTCCTTCTGCTAGATGGAACACTGCAGAAACTGTAAACAATTATTCAAATGCTAATGTGAAAATATTGATTGTAGCCAAAACTGCAGTCTCTTTATTGGATCCAGAGCGAACACTTTAGCACAAATATAATCAATCGTTTTAAGATACTTTTTCTTGAATGTTTCGAAAACACCACGTAGAGGTGGTTCTGCTGATTCTACCTCACATCTACATTCACTTCCTGTACAGTAGCAGAACTAAGACTTCTCCACAGGCAGCAACAGAGAGATCATGAGAGAGCACAGAGGGGAGCTCAAGGTCAGAGCTGTGTCATATCCACTGACAGACAACCAGTTGACTGACAGAGAGTGTTCATAGCACAGGTAACAAGAGGACGGATAGTAGTGTGAAATAATATCTAATGGACTCTAAAGGAGGAGGAAGGGAAGCCTCATGTACGTGAGTAGAGTGTGTATGTGCATGTGTGTGACCTCAAAAGAGAGGACAAACAAGGGCCAATAAGGTCCTAAGAGAGCAGATTGATAATAAAGGTCTTTTTTGCACTCTGTTCTGCTACTAATACAACAGCTTGTGCCATATTCACAGCTTAACTTCTAAGAGTGTAGTATGATTGTATTTCATTTCAAAAATGTGGCAAGTAATTGTTCTAGTGTATTTTATAGTGCAAATTATGTAGGTAGTGTTCAGCAATTTCTCTTATACAGGATTTAAGGGGTTTATAGGGCCTGACCAATATGGACTTTTTTAGGTTGATACCGATATATTGGCCGATATATTTCTTCGATCTACTGTATGTTTGATGTGAAGCGATATTTAAATTTAGATATACACATTTGTTGCGCTGATCCCTCAAATGCTGTAATCAAACAATTGTGGAAAAGATAGACAGTATAATGTAGACAAGGTGATCACTCAACTGGAAAGTAACTACGCATGCCCATTCAGCTCGACGTTAGCAGTCCACTTCACAGCATAGCTAACGGCTAGGCTGCTATCATCAACTATTCCTGCTCGTCCTGAGTTATCTCTACAAACAGTAAGTTAACGTTTAACTTTTCTACAACACAGTTAAAACGAATTATATTCAACACAAATATTTAATTAAAGTCTTAAAACTACACTTTTTTAAATATACAATTATGTTTTATGAGTTTTGTTAGAGCAGTTAGACTTTGTCAGTGTTAGCAGAGAAATACATTAACAAAGTTTTATCCATAAACTGTAAATAAATATGAGACATCCAGAAGAAATCAATATTACAAAGCATACAGTTCATGTTACTGTTCTGACAAAGAGGAATGTCTGTGTTTTATATTCACTGATGTCAACAGCGATGACAGTGAACATGACAATTGAAAAATAATGATTTAGTATTTATTATAAGATATTTGTTTTCTATTGAACCCCGTGAAGTCATGGAGTCTGTGGACAGTGTCAGCTTCACACCAAAAACTTTAAGTATTAGAAAAAATAGTATTTAAGACTGGCATCTATTATGATGAGTTGCAGCTACCTTGTTCAATATTATTCCTGCAGATGTGGCTCATAACAAAAAAACACCTGAGATGTCCATGTAGTTAACTGTACATTTTGTCTTGTCTGAGGCATTAATTGAACACCTTGTATTTCTCCTATAGACACAGTGTGGATTTTGGTGACTTGTCCGTCGAGGTGCCCAGAGAGCTGCAGAGACAGAGGAAGAAACCTGAGCCTCAACAACATCTGCATTTGTTGGTTCTTCTGGGGTGGACTTCGGTTGCTTCTCTTCAACAGCTCGCTGTGAGGGAGGTCTCCCCCGGACGGCCTGAGTGATGTCACCACACAGACTGAGAGCTGGAGCTGAGGCGGGTTTTAAGCCTTTTGACAAACCGTTACACCGCGCCCACCTGTCAAGCTGGTCAGCTACACGCCTTATTGTGAATAACTCTATCCTTCATCAAACATTCACCCCCCCCCCCCGTACAGTGTGTGTCCATCGAGACATGAGCTAATCACACCTATTGTTTGTTTTGTACCAAGCTGTAAACATGTTAATCTCTGCTGTAAAACAGACTTTTTTTAATGTTGTTTTTCAGATTAAATAAATTTTTCTATATAAATGCACTCCTTTATGTCTACTTATGAGTATACATTTCAGATTAATGCTCAACTCAAGCTTAGGGAAGGAAGTCTACTTTTACACAACTTCTTATTCTTTTGATAATACTAATGCAGTTCATTTCTGAAAGTGGGATGGAACAGAGTCATTGCAAAAATTTGCCCTTAAACACAGCCCCACTCTTAAATCAGATACATGGAGAGTAAATAAGATCAATACTTGTGAATAAAAAACACAGTTAAAAATGATTTAGAAATGTAGTCTTCCCTGATCAATATCACATAATATCAACTTCTCCCATCTAAACTGGACAAAGGGTTTAAAATGGGAAGAAAATGGTTTGATTGCAAGTTGTTTGGAGGAGATCTAGTTTTATTTGACAGCATGAATACAGTCTTCAAGGTGCAAACCCTC